AAGTTATCGTGCGATTAATTGATTTATTGACTATCGCGACAGGCCTATGAAAATCCACGTTAAATTACATAAAATTAATGTGGCAGCGGATTATTTGCTTCCCTACATCAGAGCAAATCATTTCAAGAGCAGCTGTGTGAATGAATAAATGAATAAATACCTTATCTAGGGTCCTTTGAAATGAAATATCTGAAATATAAACTTTATAAAAAAGCACTTTTATTCGCTATCAGCTACAAAATGCCTTACATTTTTGTCATTTTTCCTGCAAGTTAGAATCTTTTCTTTCTTTCCAGCTGGTATATCTTAATATCCAAACATTATTTGAAGTTTCCTCTTTATATATCTTTACATCAAATATTCCTAATTAAAACAACCTAAAAAATAGGATTTAGTTATGTTGGGTTATCTTGTTTGGGAGGACACATTAAAACATCTGTGGAACAGCTCATGGTATCAGGATGATCCAGGTATTTAAATGTGTTTTAAAAAGCCAAGAATCTGGAAATGTGCTTCGATCAAATTTAACTCAACCCTCAGTTTGATGTGATTTAACGTTGATTTAATTAATGTTGGTATGATGTGGTAGTAGCTGAGAGTCCTCCTCAAACCACACACAGATATTCCAGTATGTGCATGAGGATGCACATACTGCATTGATCATTTACTCAGCATGAACAAAACAGCTATAACTCTGTCATTTCTCAGCAGGCGATACCTTCACAGTCTTTAATTACCTTCACTCTCCAGGTAATCCCAGGGTTTGTCTTGGTAACGGGAGGGTTTCTCCTCAGGCTCAGCAGTGGTTTCACACTGCAAAGATGCTGCTTTGCAGAAAAACTGGTTGGACTGTACAAACAGAACGGGTGCCGGACATGATGGCTTCAAAGGCAGCTTCTGGAGACAAGACTACATTTTAAAAAGAAAGAGAACAAAAATACACAAACATCAGTGACACAAAGATACAGGTGAGTGTCTTTCCTCCTGGCCTTAGTTTTAAACTAAACTTTTAACATGTACAGTGGATCTGCACATGGATCCTGCTCCTTCCTGTCTGTTGACCAATAGGAGAGGAGCTGACCTAAGAAGCTCCGCCCATCGGATTTACATGAATGCATAACGCAAAGTAAAAACTGGAGACAGCGCAAACATCAGTCTGTCGTCCAAAGTTAACAAACTACTACTAACTTATTTGCTTCTCGTTTTTTGTTTTACATGATAATTACAAATAAAACTAGTCTTTCTTATAGTTAGTAATGTTTATGTATCAGCAGCGACTCATGGCTAACATTAGCTAAATGTTAGCCGCTACACCACGGAAGGTTGAATCCAGTGTTAAAGTCTAACTTACGAGTTTTAATTTGAATTCCGAACTTGTCAATATTAAGCGAGTTATGCTATATTAAACGCGTATTAAAATATAATACCTGGTAATGACGAAATGGACGAGAAAAGGAAGGCAACACACGGCAAAACACCTTGGAAAACGCATTCACTGAAGCAGCCATTTCCTTTTCTTCTTCTCTTGTTTAATGACGGTGGTCAAATGACTTAATGATGCATTAGCACCACCTACTGGTAAGAGGTGTGCTTGGAATAAAAAACAAGCAATTTGACTTAAATGCATCAGAAAGAACAATACTATTATTATTATTATTATTATTATTATTACGAAGGACTGAAAGGCTCTGGACTCTAAATGGTAAATAATAAATATCTATGATCTGGATTCCACTGAGTGATGGAGTCAAAGGTTATGCAGACAGGATTCGGTGGAAGTGTGAAGCAGGAGGTATGGGATAAGACAACTGTCAGAACCATTGTATGTGTAAGAGTCTAAATTTGTACATGTAAGTCTATAAACGTACATAAATTTGTTACAACTTTGCCACATTACAAGTACSAATCAAATTTACAAGTACAAATCAAATTTACAAGTACAATTCTTTTACCTGTCAAAATAAGACATTATGCATGGAACAC